GTATAGCTGGCAGGATACATATAGAGCACAAGACCAGCTAACTTGAGAGTCAATAATAAAATGGATCCTCAATGAAAAGAGGCCATTAGGAAAGCGTAGACAGAGTTAAGAGTGACCTGCAAATGCTAGGACTGCTAGGAGTAATAAACGGCGAAGAGCTAGCTAATGACATAGAAGTATGAAGATATGTGGTGGTTGCTGTGTAAAGGGCTTAAATGGCCTTATAATAAGCCTATAAAATAAAAACTACTTAATAATATTTCATAACATTTGTAAAATCTGTCAAGTAGATAAAGAGTTGTCATGATAAAATTATTTGCAATTTAAAATTAATTTTTAACTACCAATCTCATTTAAAAATAATACATTTATCATAAATAAAATATAATACAATCTTTTATAATAGGTATGTTGTTGATATTTTTGTCCATAAAACAATAGAAATTTCATCTATAAAAAGGATATTGATAAATCTGAAATTAATACTCTATTGTACAAATTCGTTAGAAGTTTTTGCAAAATAGTCCGTATTGTTGAAAAAAGGTGCTTAGCCATTGAAACCCTTTTATATTTATATTATTGTATATTATTTTTTTTATTTGTTGATATCTTGATAACAGGTAAAAAATTTATTAGTTTAGGATATATCAACATAATTTATTTTATTTCTTAATGATATTGATAATTGAAAATTAATTTAAAATAATAATCAATTTTTTATGCCAACTTTTTATCTAATTTTTTATTTTATTATCTATTTTTACATGACACTTGATTATGATACCGACTATAACAAATATTCTTATCTACTTGATAGGCGACAAATTTTTTCTTTACAAAAAAAGACTAAAGGCCTGGTTCTTCAGATATTATTTTAATTGTATTATGTACTAAAAGTTCTAAATATTATCAACTTGATCTATGTGATATATTGAGTTAAAGATATTTTTCTATTATTCATTTTTATATCTATGTTTTATATTTTAATAATATTATCTAAATAACATATCATAATTTGTATCTTAATAATTACACAAAAGTACAACTATTGCTGTTTTATAAAAATTATCCGTATCATGCATTTTCATTGAAAATTATAATCAGGATGTGTTTCATTATCTATACATCTAGTTTATGAAAATATTGATTTCACTAATTGAATGTGATGTTCAGATGTAACATATAATACTGAATGGGATTTTGTTAATAGGTGTAGCATATTTGCTACGTATACTTGGTTTAAATAATGAATTCGACTCATTGAAGTGGTTTCAATCAGTATCTGAAAATTATGAAGAAAAATTAAATATACTAAAAACTCAAGAAATAAATGCTTTAAAAGATGATACAAAGTTACAACAGCCACTTAGTTTGTCTTACACAAGGCTTCAAGTTTATTATAAAGTAAAGTACAAATATTTATTGCTTTACATGAGTTTTAAGTAGTTTGTTGTTTTCAGGAGTTCATGCTTTTATATTATAACATTAATAGTGCAAGGATATTCTTTCAGTCCAGAAATATTAATTAATTTACTTAAAAATTGTATTGTATTAACGAAATGTTAAATTTTTTATAGTAATTTTCAGATGTTATTTTTGGTTGTTAAATATTTTATTTATATATATATTTACATTATCTTTGTTAGTCATAAAGTTGTGCTTTTATAATTATGTTATATTTTTATATCTACTCAATAAAAATTTTATATTAATCATCAGTACAATATTTTACTTATTTTACCAAGACAAATTATCAGTAATATTTTAAATAAATAAATTTGTTGAAATTCAAATAATATGGAAATAAAGAATTAAAAAATAAATAATACATAAGTATAATATTTTAACAACTTAGCTTCTCTTATATCATTAAGCTATATTTTTTTGAAAAATAATTTCTATGCTAATAAAATAATGAATGCTTTCGCAAAAACAATTGCTAACATATTATTTTATCCAAATACATATGTCTAAAAAATTAAATGCTCCTCTATATAACTAAACATTTAATTATTATTCCTAACTGTAAATTAAATTTATTACGTATTTTAATATTAAATAAAACAACAACAAAATACTTAAAATGTATCAATTTACAGTATTAGTGTAAACTATTATAGAGCAAATCATTAATATATTTATTTATTTTTGTATATTCATTTTATAAGGAAAATGATTTTGATCAAAAATGGTCTACCATCATATATTTCTAATAAAGTAGGTTAAATTATTCTTTTTGCAGAAAAAATTGTATTTTAAAATGTCATTATGATGCATACAAAATATAATGTGTTATAAGTTTCAAATATTGACAAATAATATTTCAAAATAACTTAATTAGTTATTTTTTTATTTAAATATCTTTCATCTAAATTTGAAGTTGAAATATTAATAAATATTAATTCATATATATATTGTATACAATTTTTAGATTTTTTAGTTCTACAAAATAGTTAATAAATTTTCATATTTTCATGATTTTGACAAATTTTGTTAAAAATAGAGTTTCAAATACTTATAAATATATTTGTATGCATTCATAACTTTAATATTTTAAGGTAGCTATAATAAAACTTATACAGAACCTTATATTAAATTTCTTAGCATATGGATATTAAAAAATTGTTTTTATCAAATATAATTCAAATTAAATTTAAAAAAATTATAGATTTATTATTCTTATTATAAATATTATAAATAGCTTAAAAAAAAATCAAATATTTTGAAATTTTATCATGTACAAAAAATGATGGTATAAATATTTGATGAAAATTTCAAGTATTTCTAGTAATTTATTTTTAATTAAAGCATAATATTAAAAATCATTTGAAGAGAATATCCAATGTTATAGAATTTTGAACTTCCAACAGTTATAAAAAGCTATAGATATAAAACCTTATGAAGTATTTTGTATTAAATTTTAAAACCTCTGATGTTAAAAGAAAAATTGTACTTTTTACATTACTTAAAGTCTAAAAATTAAGAACAAATACTAATAGTAAAAACAATGAAATATTCATCTCATAGAATTATATTTTTATATTACCCAATATTGTTTCAAAAATATTTTCTCATAACTAATATTTATATTAATTCATAAGAATTATTATATGGATTGATTAAATTTCAAGAAATAATATTTAATTCCAACTGCTCATTGTTTAAATTCCTACAAATTTTAATTTTATTGCATATTTTGTAAGATTATAGTATTGTCATTTAAGCACATTACTTAAAAATCTACCATATTCTGAAAAATCAATGACTGCAAACTAAACTAATTGATTTTTCAAGTATTTTTGTTTAATTGTTATTATTTAAAACACTATCACTATTATGAAGAAGTAGGTTCCTATTAAATCATATCATTGTTATACCTAATAAGTTAATTTTCATGGTTGAATATTTGTTAATTTGTAAGCAAATCTGAAATCAATTTAATGATTAATGAATGAATTAATACCTACTGTATTGCTTTATTTCACTAAATATTTTGATAAATAAATAGTATATTATGGAGAAGTGTATATATTAACTATAATGTTTAAGAGAATACCAATGTGCAATCAAAGCCCAACTACACCTATGCTATTGATAAACTATTTGGTTATTGTAGTACCTACATAATATACTAATACTAATAGGTACGTAGTAGTAGATGAAATAATAATAAAACCTTAATAATAATAATGGGTACCACATTTTTTTAAATACTAAATTCTGGGATTTAACATTCATCAATAAAGTTCAATATATTTTTAACATTTATATTTTATTAAATTTATAGATATAATTTATTTGTTGAAATGGAACCTAAATTTGACAAAACAAACCAAAATTTTTATAAATGATTGTTTTTATTAATAAAGTGATCACGAAAAAAAATTCTCTCTATCTGTAATAACTTTAATATTACATTTTTTTAAAATGCATATTAAAATTAGGTATCTATTTGTATATTGTATACACTGGTTTTATTATTAATTATTTTGTGATAGTTATCCAAATTATATTACATTATTGTATTTATCAAAACTATACACGGTGTATAATTATGATCCGACACATTCAAAAGTAATTTTAGTGTAAAATAATTTATTGTAAGTATTTAAATTTTAATTTAGGTATTTAAATTATATTTATGTATTACTTGGAAAAAATTGTTACTTGCCCGTACTTGTTTACCGCCTACCATTTACCAAGAATATATTATATAGGCCATCAAATTATTTATAAAAAAAAAATCCTTCACGTCAAAATTAGTTAGATCACAGAATATAACAATGGTTAAATGTTTATATGATCACAATTTATTATGATCTAAGCACCTACTGCCTACAATTGACATGATAAGACATAAAATACATAAATATTATTTGTATTAATTCATTTTCTTTTATTACGTACAGTTTGTTACTTCATATTATAGTATCAAATCTGTTAATAATTAACAATTAAGTAAGTATGATAAATGTTTGTAGACAATGAAAGTATGATTCAATGATAGCGTAATCTACAACACAAAACTAACTCTTATCGAGGTCTGAAATGTCTGAATCTTAATTCGATTCGTCTCGATAGTCGATACGTATCGGTATATTATTAACATATCATCTCGAATTTTAAACGTTCGATTTTGCATCGATAATAATATTCTTCTTAAAAACTCTTGTGATACTGTAATCTTTTACCTGTCATGTCGAAGAGATTTATTTGAAATGTTTTCCATTTGCAATAAATTATAATACATCGATATTATTAAATCAAAACGACGAGGCGGCAGCCGGAGACTATTATTTTATTGAATAATATTGTAATATTAACATCATATGTATATGTATCGTCGCGCATCCGATTATGAAGGTAAAAATTACCACAGATTTATTATATTACCAATAAAATTTAAAATATTATTTTTGTGTACTCAAATTAACAATCGATAAATCTGTAACCGATAGCTGGTCGAAAGATTTGCAGTTCGATAGTCCGGGCCCATTGTTATTTATCTGTACAACCGTCTGGTGAGCGGTAAAGTGGGATAGCAACACCGACGCGGTCACCGGGCCTTTATCTCACACAATTTGGCGCCAAAAAAACATAACCGCCGAATCGCCGTCATCGGTCGTCTGTGACATATAAATATAATTGCATTTTCTCGTCGAGACGTGACTGATCACTGATCTCATCTGACTCTGAAGGTAGGTTTGTATTTCAACCGTCGATACACACTTAACTTTCAAGTATTCTTAGATTTTTCGATTTATCGTCAGAATTGTTGAGTTTTTTCGTCCTGTAGCGTTGTCGTCAAATCGCCGATAATCTCGGTACCCAACGTAATAGATTATCTTATTCGGCCGAATCAAAAGCACATGTTCTTGACCGACCCGTGAAAACGAAAGCGCATCGTTACTGACCGACCATAATTTAGCCTTATGTTCGTATGATATAAATTTCTCGAATACGTTCCATTTTTCGTGCCATACCGTTTCAAAACACTATCTAGCTTGGTGACGAATTATATAATTTAATATAATCGTTATTGGCATTCGAAATGTTTTTTGTATCGGTAAAGAAGTCTGCGAAGGAAATCGAAAATTTGAGTGAATACGAACGCGAGAGACTTAAGAACATAGCGGAAATAGAACTTCAGGTATGTTTATTGAACTGTCTGTTGGATATAAATTATATACAAACTTAATACTTGCTTACTGATGTTAAAAAAATTATTTTTCCACAGTTGGCTGATCCATTAGATACCATACAAAAGTCAGCTAATGAGTTAAAATCCTCTAAAATTAATGCCACAAATAATAGACGTGCTAAAAGCAAAAAGCGCAAATTCAATTCTGAAACTGATAACGATACATCTAATCGTGTGCATTTTGTGAGACGCTCATCTCGTATCATTCAAGAAAAAAGGTATTTATTATTTATTTATTAGTATAAATATTAAAACTGGGTTCCTATTTGAATAATTTGAATTTCAATATAATATTTTATGATCAATCTATTGATTTAAACTTAGTAATATGTATCTCATTTGTTAAAATTGATAAAATCTAATTATTTTAAATCATATCTAATAGATAATCAAGTTTAAACATCTACTATACATTTTTAACATGTAATAAGAGGGAAACCAGTGACATCTAGTTTTTTTTTAAGCAGAATGTCCTATTTATGTTTATATTTCACATTAGATACATATATTCTATCTTAAAGTAGAATACACCAGTTCTGTGCACTTTTATTCCTTTTTATTAGTCATTACTTATGGTGTTATGTAAAAGATCCTCCAGCATTGCTGGACAAAAACCAGTCGCACCTGATGTATTCTACTTACAGTATAAGTATTATTATAATTAAGTATAAACTGTGTTCACAACTAAGTACTGCTCTTAACATAACATCAGTAGTTATTTTAATATAGATTTGAAACTCTTAGTATCTAAGGTATTTAGTAATTAGTGTGATCTTATCTTATTTAAAAATTACAGATTGATACATAATGAATAAAACTATAATACGTTTAAATTAAATAGTAAAATACTACTTAATAAAACGTGTTAATAAAACATTTAACATGTATTTATAGAATAATTTTAATTGATGATTGAATAATTATGTTAACTAAGGGTCTAAAACTGTTTTATGAGGACACTTGTGTTGTTTCTGTCTTACAAGCATTTAACAGCGTTACATTATGTTCTTAGCATCAATATTATAAAAAATAGAGTTAATTGGTATATTATCAAAATTAAAGGTAAAAATATTTTCAGTAGTTAAGTGTTGGTTTATTTTTTGATACTTTAATTTTAAGCTTAATATGAGGTTTTTTAATTTGTAATGTTTTATATACTCATATTATCCTGCATAAGCATTTTAGTAATGAAAGAATCCAACGCTAAATCACTGATAATATTTCTTCTGTTAATTTTGATAATAAATCATTTTACTCTAATAGTAAAGTCAACAACATATAATAACTTGTACTGGACCCAAATTTTCTGTGTTGTTTGTTTGTAAGATAAAGACAACACATTTAGATGTGGCATTATGTTAAAGCTATTATGTAAGCATATGAAATTATTTTTTTACAATGAATACAAATAATATAAATAGGTACTTTTTATTTTCTTAAATACTCTATAAAAATGGAACTATCACAAACATAGATGTAGATCTTAAAAACTAAGATAATTTTTATCTAATGCGGAACTTCAAGTCACACTAGATTTAGGTGAGATATAATGAAATAGATGTAGGTAAATAGAATTACAGTTGACTCTTGATAATTCAAAGTTGGTAGGACTTTTAAAAAAATTGTATTGCTAAATAGTTAGAAATATAAAAATAATATACAAATTACTGAAATTTACTGAAAAAATTTGTTTTATAATTTTGTACATACATAATTATTAAATATTTCAGAAAATTAGGCGTTATTACTGTTATTTACTGTGTTTAAAATGTAAACTTAACTACGTAAATTAAATTGTTATTATTAATAGACGATTAAGAAATAAAATGCTTATGTGAAAATTCTTACAATAATAATTCTATAGTTATCGAAAATAATAAGCTAATTTCTACACAATTGTATAGTAAATTATCAACAAAAAGATTATAAGAAATACATTTGGTGAATATTCTTTGAATTACCGAACGTTGAATGGATGAAACTTTAAATTGTTAGTGACTAATTTTCTTAAAACTTAAATTTAAATTACCAAGTGTACTTAAATAAATAGTTTTTATTCAAATTACAGTGAGATTTTCAAGAGAACGAGCATTTGCTTTGAATTATTGAAAGTTTCAAATTATCAAAGGTTTGAATTATTGTGAGTCAACTGTGTTGTATGATATGAAAAAAAAGTATGAAAATAGCTTGTAAACATGATAAATTATTAGTCAGTGAAATGAACAACTCATAATATTTGATTTTAATATTTATACTAGTAAATTTACAACATAATACTTAGATAATATAAGTATTTTCTATTATATTGAATATTCTCTAACCCCTAAAATATGCTTTTTTTATAATATATATTTTTTCTATGAATTTTGTGTTTTATAAATATTAAGGATAGCTTCTATTTCATTGCTTAGACTAGAAATAAATGTGTAAAATAATAAAATTTCTACCTTTAATACTAACTTAATTAACTTATATAATAATTTACAAAACTGTAGATAATATGTAGTGATATATCAGTTGGCGACAAATATAGGTTTCTAAGCTTTTACATTGGGTGCGATAAAGATGCATAGGCAATTATTATCGATAGTAATAATAATAAACTATAATTATTGCTCTACTGCAGAGACATTAACAGTTAAATATGATTAAACTTTTAACAAGTTTAGGTGGGTATCTAATTTTGGGGACCAGTCCAATGTGTGATCTACTGATAAACGGCTGGTCCAATGTGTGATTAACTATTAACTATATATTATGTCTATACTGCAAAAGTATTTTTTAAATCTGATAAAAAATCATCAAATATTTGAGTTTGTACCAGGTGGCATGACCGCCACCATTCTTCTTTAAGTTGGCGGTCTAATAGTGGAGATGCACCATTAACTTTAATATTATACTTAGGCTTGACTAACTTCTATAACGACTCTATTGTTCGAGTATGAGCTCAATTTCAATTCATCAAAAATTATATTTTTAAATAAATAACCTATTGTTGTAATAGAATTCATTTTAAAATTTAAATCGTTACAAAACTAGTTATAACTAGTATGTAACTAGTTACTGTATAAATTAATATAGATATAATAACTATAATTACAAAAATGAATTTTTCTCTTATTTGTTCAATTCAATTATTTGTCACTTTCTTGGTCTTGTTTAAGACGATTAATAAGGTTTCACCATAGTTTTTAAAATATTGAATGTCGTATGATTAAACAATCATCCTTTATATAAGATCAGCCCTATTTTTTTTTGCTACATCTACTACTTTACCTGCTTTTATTACTTCAAGTATAATTTTGATTATTATTTAATGAAAAAAAAATTTTTATAGTAGATGTTTATATTGTACGTTATAAGTCTAAAATTGTGTTCAATAACATATTATACACACTATAATTTATTATAGAGTACTGGATTTAATTATTGCTATAAAAAATATTAAATAATTGTATAGTATAGTTTTAATTTTAATCTTGTTCAATAAAATAAATTAATTTATTGTTACTTGGTTTATTTATAATATGTGTATATATTATTTATAGACAATCAACTAATTATAATGAACAAAGTGATGATGAAAATGATAGGAGTGACAAAAAAAAACTTAAACAAGGATCGTTAAAAATTAAGTTTCGTTGGTTTAAATCAAGTGAATATCAAAAATCGGACGAATTATATTATAGTTCACTTGCTGATAGTGATTTTATTGATGATGGTGATGAAGAGTATGAATCTGACTATGAGTCATCTGTAGTATGTATTTATTATTAAATAACATTTTTTTTACTGTCTTTATTTAACTTATAATTAACAAACATTATATAGTCTGGATCAAAAAGAAAGCGTAAAACATATACACCTCGTTTAGCTGTTTCACAAGTAACACAAGAAATGATAGAAAATATTTCATATTCTTCATCAGGAAAAGTTTATAGTCAATCTGGTACAACTTGTCACCAATGCAGGTATGTTTTTTTTTAAATAAAACAAGTTTAATTAATTGATATATACATATTTTATAATTATTATAATGAACTAAATTAATTTATATTATGATTAGAGTTGTGTTTTTTATGCCATATATTTTTTCCTGTTGATTTATTAGAAGGTTTTGCTTAATAAGTGAAAATTATTTTAATTTATTTTATTTATGCATTTACATTAAAATAAGTATTACAGTTTCAATTAATGACTCATAATTATATGTTTATGATAATAATTTTATTATTAATAACTTTGTTGTCAGGGCAAAAGATTTTTTTTTTAATTTTTATTTTTTTCATTAATAACTAATTTTTTAATTTTAATTTTACTGTTAAAACAATATATAAAATCAAAATATTTATATTTTACAGTATTCATACAATCTTTTCAATTTATTATTTATGATACTTAACAATTAATTATTTATCTTAAAAATATTAGTTTTATTAAGTATATAATTGTATGTTGTAAATTCATTACTTAACTTATATTTCAATTTTTAGTTTAAAACTGATGTATATGTATTTACTATATTTCATTAATAATATAAAATAAAATAATATTTATTAAATATTATTTCATGTTTAGACAGAAAACTGCTGATCAAAAATCATATTGTCGATACAAGGGATGTAGTGGCATGCGAGGAAATTTTTGTGGATTTTGCTTGGGTAGAAGATATGGGGAAAATGTTGCAAATGTTTTAGTTAACCCGGTAATTTCTAATTGATAGTTTTAGATGGTCATAATTTTTAAATACTTATTCTTTTTTTACAATTTTTTTTTTCTAAGAAATGGGCTTGTCCGCCATGTCGCGGGTATTGTAACTGTAGTATTTGCAGACGTAGAAAAGGAATGGCCCCAACTGGCCAATTGGCACAACAAGCTTTGGCAGGTGGATATGAATCTGTTAGGCATATGTTAAGTAGCATAGAAGGTGAAGATCCAGATGTTACGGACTTGGAATTTGATGATGAAGATAATAACCAGAGTGCACCAGATAAAAATAATATTGCTGAAGATAACAATGAGAACGAACAAAACGATCTTGAAACTCAACGTGACAATGACAATGTGTCAGATGAAGTTAAATGCAGTGACGAAACATGCAACTCTGCTAATCATGAAGATAAATGTGCAATTAAAGATCAAGAAACTCAAGAAATGGTTATTGACAAACTGTATAAGCAATTATTATCAGAAGATTAATTTAAAGAAAACAAAGGTAATGAAATAACAAGTGAAATATTTATTTACCTAACCTAATTTATAAAATAGTATTTATTTTCAACAGTATTATCAATTTAATTTTTTGTTTATTTTCAAGTTTTTACTATGTATTAATTTTTTTTTAGTTATTTTGTATATTGTCAAGTCAAGACTTAATTTATGATAATTACCAAAATCGATATCCTACTTTTGTTAACTATTATTAATGATTTAACTAAGGAAACTGGATGTTCAATTGAATTATTATTTATTTACAAGTCTAAACAGATTGAACTATTATTTTGTAAGAAAGAATGAATTTTATTTACTTTAAAGTTACTAATAGTTATTAAGATAATTTTTTGCTTTATGCCACATACAATAAATTGATAACCTAAATAATTTTCATATGAAAGTACTGAAACATTTTCATTTTACTACAGAATACAAATTTATTTAATACGTTTAATTAGCCTGTTTCGTGTATTTTATTATTATTTGTACATTTTTACAATATTATAACTTTATGTTGAATTTCATCGTTATTATATTGGCAATAAATGTTAAATATTTATTTAGTATTACATCATATGTTTTTTAAATTATTATCCTTTATGCATGTTTTAGAGTCTATAGCAGGGGTCGGTGATTAAATTCTATGGAGGTCCAGAAAATCAAAAAAAAAAAAGTTTCGAGGGCCAGTAAAAACTAAAAACTTAGATATTAGTTAATAATTGTTGTGTTATCGCAACTATTATTGTAAATAGCAATAAATGATAAACACCATTGTAATCTCTAAATACATCATAAAATAGATAAAATATATATTATGTGTGTAACTGGTCTATAGTATTATGAAGAAGTTTAATGTCTGTAATGTTTATTAATACTTTTTTTTTTCAACCTCAAAATTTAATACTTAAAAGATATAGTATGTTACAGAATATAGTTACAAACCATACATCTTGTTGACACTACTTTATCAATTATCAAATATTGCCATTAAAAAAAAAAAAAAAAAAAAAAAAAAAAAAAATGAAATACAGTATTATATTGGTTTTAATAGTTATTTCCTGTTAACATAATTGAATATTTATTATTTAAAGCGTCTAAGGTTAGTTGGAAAATAGATTACGAAATGTGATCTTCCATTCTGTTAAGCTAAATATTATGTTATTTATGATTCTTCATTACATTACAATTTACTACTCCTACCTACCTAGTGTATTAGTGAATCCGATCAAATGGATAAACATTATAAAAGACTGTCAATCTAGAAAATACAATACAAAGTAACGAGCGTTGATCAAATTATAATTTACAAAATAGAAATTGTAAAATGATTATAATGTCAATATTTCTAAAAAAAGAAATGCAATAATTTTTTTTTTAATTTTTATGGATTACAGTAGGGAATGAATAGACTAAAAATATTCTAAAATACACAATTAGGTAAGTAGTATAGAAATGTAAATATAGGTATTTGATGGTAAAGCATTGGTAGAGACTGGACAAATACTAAAATTATACTTAAAGGTAATGATCGATAATGAGTATGTGATGTTTTAATAAAATGCTTTTTTAAATATATAGTAAAATTAGCAATACATTTTTTCTTTTTTAGTAATTTAATGAAAATTGTTGTCATAAGACACAATTTTTAAACATGAAATATATTGCCATAAAGGTTATTTAAAAAAAACGTACTCTTTTTTTTTTTTTTTTAATTGATCTAAATGATTCAAATAGTGTAGGTATCTAATGAATAGATAAATTAATATATATGGCTAAAATAAATAATATTCATACATTGCATTATTAATATATGTGTGCATGTATGGGAACGCCCCAATATTTCTATTAAACAATGTTGCACAATAATAATCACAATAATTCATGTCTTACATATTTACACTATCAACACATACACAGGAAATTAATTGTTTTTTGTATTGAACCCCTTTAAAAAGATCTGTGTCGAATCTTCTTAAACTATATTTTATTTAAGTTAATAGTTATCTTTATAGGTTTTGTATTATACAAGCTTTGAGTTGGTTAATGCTTCGTCCACACAGCTTGAATAAAATATTTGTTAATTAAAATTTCAAATAGATAGTATTGTTCAATCAGTTCATAAGTATAAACAATAATAAGTGACTGCAAGTGTCACCAAAAATATATTTGCCACCACTGTGCCAGAATCTAAGCGTTTTTATCAACACTTTAAAAAAAAAAAATTCTCGAACGAATTAAAAATTAAAATTCTTATATTTACTTAGTGATATTCCTAACATTTTAAAAATTTTGAAACTTTCAGTTTAGAAAATAATAATTTGAATAATAGTGGAATAATTCAATTGTTAACAATTCATTTTTATAAGTTGAAAAAAAAGCTAGGTATGTAAAACCCGCTGTTCTGTATGCCTGTATAATAGATATTGAGAGAGTCTTTTTAATAGATATGTTAAATTTAAATTCAATAATATATCATTTTATACAAAAAATTACTCTGAGGGGAGCGGTCTATCGGTCTGTATCACTAATGCATTTCATGATATGAATTTTGATATTTCTATGATGACATCGTTCAAATACGTATGTAATATGAACTGCCTAAATATTACTTCTTAAAACATGCTATGCTCTAACTCCTGTAAACTAATTACTTTTACTATAAGTGTTACCTACAGTTTTTGTCGGAAACTTTGAATTAATTATATTATTAGTATTTTATAATAATATAATATATATTATTATATTACTTATTTTTATTAACTTGAATTTATATCACCTCAATGTAAAACAGCTGTAATAATATTAATATTATTACGCCGCACAGCTTCATAATTTAATATCATTATAATATTATTTAGTATATCATTCTTAATATTTAAGAATTATCTGTACCGACTGTACCTTTAAACACTGTCATAACAATCAAAATTATTCAAAATATTAACATTCATTCATACTTACTCTAAAATAAAATGACATTACAATGTCCAACATAATACTATTAAAACCTAACAAATTTTTATATTTATGCACTTTGATGTTGTATAAAATACGGACAAAATTATTAATTACATTATATATATGTGTGTGCTTAATATACCTAATATCACAAAAATATGCTTCAATGACACCCACGTATTTCTACTAAATAAATAATAACAATTTAAAACGGAACAACAAGTCCAAAGATCAATACTATAAGTAGAACTCCCATTTTAACATGAAAGCTACTTAGTCTGTCTCCAGCAACCCGCATAACTTTACAGCCTTACACCGTCTTTTCTCACTTAATAATGAGTATTAACTTAACATCATCATTGATCTTTATATACTTTTGTAAAGTGTTAAATTAATATCTTAAATTAAATCCAAATAACTAATTTCCATTTTATTCAATACCTTCGTCATATTAAATTCTCGTCTTCATATTATTGATAGAATCATTGATGTATAGCAAGTACCTATGTAAATTATATTAATATACATTTGCATATTAAGGACAATAAAATTATTACAGTTAAATAAGACACGCAGACTCGGGTGTACTAAAAAGTAATAAAACCAATATTTAAATCTGTATTCACGATCCCGATTAATCGTAATAATATATAGGCTTTGATAAAAATAAACGAAGAGGGAAGAACATCGGCACTCCTTGTTCCATCATTTATGTTTAAAAATCCTTAGCTATAACACCTTTAAATAATAAATTATTATAAAGTAAAGTTTCATCAATTACAACGTACGAGTTTATTTTTAATTCATTACACAGCATAAATTGGTTCATAGGCTATGATTTATATACCTACTATAAAACTGGGTGAATAAAAAAACTTGAACTTTAGAGTATCATAATTGATTGATACATCAAAATTCAAAAAACTGGTCTTGTGGAATTCTTTAAATCTGTTATTTCAAAATATTTTTATTTTCAATAAATAATTATATATATTTTTCTGAGTCCTCTGTTTTTTATTGACTTTTTCATACATACTTCTATTTTAAAAACTTAATGTTAAATAAAAACAGTAATTGATATTTTTAAAATTGTACACGTTTTACTAATAAACGGTTTTTTTTAGAGTACCTACAACATTTACCAATTCATATCAATAAAAAATAAAAATAAGACCCGGTAATAACATTTTAGACTTTTACTTTCCAGTCTTTGAATTAACTTATTTTATAATATTAGGTTACAAACATAAACCATAAATCTTAAAATTAACATAGGTAAATGTAATAACAGAGCACAGAATTATATTAGTATGTATTTTTTTTTTTTTTTTTTGTGTATATATGTACCTATATGAAAATCTATATTGGCTGTAAATGTGATACCTAGGTACATAAACGTTTCACCAGCACTCTCTTTGTTAACATTTGATTAAATACAATCTTAATTGGCACATCGTAGTGCCGTAATATGTAATTGTTTGCATTAATTTTTCGTCTCCGTTAATATGACACGAAAAGGTAGTTCATATTTTTTTTTTGGTCAACATTTTAAGAAATAATTACATAATACTAATTACTAATACAGTCAGTGGCGTAAACTGGGGGTCGCACGGGGTCGCACTTGCAACCCCTGAAAATATCATAGGGTCGCAAGAGTATCTTTTTGCGACTCCAAAAAATTACGATTTCAATTATCAAAAAATTGAAATATCAATATAATAATAAACTAACTAATTTATATTTTGAGAACCAATGTTTAACGTTGTCTTGAAGCACTGGAATTATTATTATACTATATCCTTTCCACATTTATTTATAGTTTTGTTATTAATAATTTTCTATTATTATACCAATATGTATATTTATTGTGATCGGCCGACTCGAGTCTCAATGGTAGCTGATAATGAAAACGTGTTTCATAGTTTAAAATTACTATTTGTTTGTTTTATTCATGAATTTAATTTTTACACTTGTTATTTCTTATTCGTGATCGACTTAAAATTAAGTACTTACTACAATGGACAAATTTCTTATAAAAGTATCGAAGTCAAAAGTAAGTGTCTATTTTTACTTTAAATTCATATAATTGTTTAGTCTTTAGTACACATATTTAGTATACATTAAGTTAAGAGTAGCCATTAAAATATATTACTGATTTATATTATATTAAAACTACAATTTTGATGAATAAAACAGTTTATTTTTGATCTGTAATTTAATTTTTATATTAATTATTAAGGTAATATTATATTATTGGGAAAATTAAATTTATTTTGCTATATATTTTTTTATTATTTTGATTCTAATAAATTGTTGTACCTGCTTATTAGAAAAATACTAATGCTGAGAAAAATGTTAACTTACCTGAAGAAAACCACCTTTCCCCAGAAAAAAGATCAAAAATGGTAAATACAGTTAATACTTAATTTCATATCATATCTTTAGTATTCATTTACAATTTATTAAAATTAAATTTATATTAATTTAATATCATTTAATATTTAAGGATATTTTGGTTAACAGTAAACACTTTACCTTAATAAATTTAAAGTGAAAATTCTGTAACTAGTTACCTACGTTAAATAAATAATAGTAAATGTATTGGTTATTTTGTGTAGTATAAAAGTGATAAATATGTATATAAATCATGTTTGTATTAATTTCATTGATCATTTTAGGATATTCTACCAAATACCAAGGACATAAATCAAATTCAGAATGCTATATCTAGCCATGTAGGTACATCAA